TTTATTGCAGAATGTCCCCCTACGCTGCACATCAGTCACTCTGTAGGACCGTTGCTGCTCTGAAGGGAAGGAGCTATGATTACCCTGACTAAAAGAAAAGAAAAAAAAATTTGAAAATGCTTTCTTTCCTCTGGTGGGGTGGGGGGGTGCAGATATATAGACACACACACATAACAGCACTTACCTTCCATAGAAATCTCACTCCATAGAAGAATATATAGAAATAAAATACAAGTCTCCACCTGCAAACACAAAACACTTGAAATCAGAAAATGAGGGGGTGGGGGCGTTATCCCCATCAAATCTAAAAAGGAGCTCAGGTCGACCAATCTGGACTCCAAAGAGTTTCTTCTAAAAAAAGAAAAAAGGTTTTCAAAGAGAGGGAGGGGGAAAAAAAAATAAACTCTTTCCCCCTTACTCAGTGTACTCCTCACTCTATGCTGGCTGCTAGGAACTTCACAAGAACAGCCCAGAAATTCAGTCAGTTCGTCCAGCCTTGCTCTCGTGCCTCATAGATCAGTTATGTTCAAATGACTCATCAGGAGAAGGGCCATTGGCCACAAGCCTCTCAGATTAAAACAAACAGCTGGTGCTCAACCACTAGGGAAAATACTTGGAGAAAAACAGCAAAATTTATTCTCCCAGAACACAACAGCAGCCACGCAGCATAAATCTTTCTATATTGCAGTCCGTTAACAAAAGGTCAGCAATTACAAAAGCTTTTAACACCAGTCTTCAACCAGTCACACAGCCGGTACCGCTAACAACTAAAGTGGATATTAGGAGCGATTCATCAGCTTCCCTTAGTACTACGATTACTTCATGATCGGGTACTTCGAAGCTTTCCTATCCCTGTAATCTGCAAACATTCAACACATCTATTCCACATTTGTAATCCACAATGAACACAGCAGGGTGGGCCTAATCCATATATAGCTCAAACATATCAAAGTTTCTGGAAAAGCTCAGCAAATCTGGCAGCACCTGTGAAGGAAAAAACACAGTTAACGTTTCGGGTCCGGTGACCCTTCCTCGGGTCACTGGACCCAAAATGTTAACTCTGTTTTTCCCCCTTCACAGATGCTGCCAGACTTGCTGAGCTTTTCCAGAAACTTTTTGTTTTCGTTCCTGATTTACAACATCCACAGTTCTTTCGGTTTTCAGCTCAAACATATACCTGAATTATATTAAAGGCTTCACACCCTCCAAAATTTCTACTTGGAGCTTTTTAAGTGAAGTCAAAAAAGGCAGGTTTGAAGACCCTAAATGCTGATGAATTGTGAGTGGAGGGAGTTTACGCAGTCCAAAAATAATAAGGGAGCTAAATTAACAATCACCAAGGCAAAAGCAAAATACTCTAGATGCTAGATGATGGAAATAGACTCATTTTTGATTTTTAAATCTGTAAAGCACCTTGGTTTACTGCCCCTCACTGTCAAGGTGAATCTAGGTCTTTGGAATGCAACGTTCAGCTGCCATGCAGGGAGACAGGCACTGTCTCCTTAATAAAAATTAACTGGCAAATAAAAATGCCAAAACACTTCAGTATTGGCTTCACTTTAAAGTGCATAAATGAACATGCATTTCAATGTTAGTCTGTCTTTAAAGATACCAATCTTCTGTGCATTCACAACTCCAACCTAACAACCCTGACATTTTCCTAGCAAATTTAAGGAGCGGTGTAAATGATCAGTCTCTTACCACAACCTTGTGGAAGTAGCAAGGTGATCAGCGAAACAAGCCATTTGATTCTGCAAGAACTCATTACCCGTTTGGTGAAATTAACTTTTTGAAGATTGGCCTCTTTTTGAACCAAATACAAATTATTTGTATATTTCAAGAATGACAAGAACATTCCTGATTCTGTGAATTAAATGAAGCAGCCTTCTGTATAGAACACTATTCAGGGTGTGTGAATTCCCACAAAAAAAAAAAAGAAGGAAAAAGCTGATGGGACACATCCTGGAGAGGATAAGGCTGTTCTGTTGGGAAAAGACGAAAACTTCATTTGGGAACAATTCAATCTAGGACATATTCTTTCCGAAGAAAGAAAGAAATCACAAAACAGTATCTGCCGAGGTTCTCTGCCCAGAACCTCAGACAACTTCCTAGAGTGCTGCTTTTTAAGATCCCTACAAAATGTCTGTGAACTTCTAAACAAATAGCTTCACATTTTAAAAAAAGAACATGTATGACTTTCAAAGTGCTATAAAATTCAACAGGTTAACAGCAAGCTCAACATTTTCACTGAGGTCAACCCACTGTCCCACAGTCTCTCATTCCCCTCAACAGATCTCAATGCCATCTTGGGGAAGTGCAACATACTCTGTTAAAGGGTAACACATGGACACAAGAACAAGAGAAATATAGTTTCCCTGGACAGACTAGACCACAAATCCAATCGGAATTTATCTAGGACAACCTAGGTCAAATATATCTCCAAAAACCAATGGTACAGCATTTCAGAGCTGGTCAGGATCCCTGAAACACAGCGAGAAATTAACAAGAAATGCAGATTTCTGTTGGACAATGTCTTAGTAGACAGTGCAGGAAGTCAAGTTTGAAATGGTCTCTCAATTATCAGTAGCGTGCTTATATTCTACCTCAAGTTATATATTTTAATCCTCTTCTAAACAAAGTGAAAGTGAAAAACTCTGAAATGATCTGATTGCAGACAAGCAACAGTAAACGTCATTTGCCTCGAGTGTGGATGTGTGCTCTCACCATATGCTCGTCTGTTGATCAAGGAAATCACAGGAGGTTGGGAAGTTCCATTCAGAAAGCCTTGGACTACCATAGAAAACACTGGGCCACAAACTCAATCCTTTCCCTCTTTAATGAGGGCGTTAACTTTTTCATTGGAGCACAGCTTAGTGGGTGCCCAAGTGGCTAAAATCAAGGCCACTGATTTATGCAAGCAAGTCAAATCTATTCTGGGTTTTGCTATTGTTTGGAGGCAATCCAATCTCAATAGGTTATAAATTGGGGCCATTGGTTTACAGTGACTGAGTAAGCAAATTTCCAATTTTTTTATATGAACCTCCAGGATTCCCAATGACATT